CGTTCATACGTGTGCATCTTCCTTGCAGAACAGCGTTAGGCTGATGAATAAAAGAAGATTAATACGAGAGCACTAACGGGAGGGCCCACCTATAAATCTGAGGGCGGGCGGGAGGAGCAGCGGGCAGCCCTCCCGGCCCCTCGCCCCGCGGTGTCTGTCGGGGACCGCGGGTGGCAGGTCCCACCCCGTCTGCAGGCCAGCGGATACACTGAGGCGAGGCAACACTTACTTTATTTTGTGAGTAGTTTGTTTTTATTGTGTTTTTCCCATCACTGTTTATCCCCCTTACGCCCGCCCCCTTCCACCCCCACCCCCCCACCGCCAGCCCCCATACTGGGGTGCGTGTCCACGAGGCCTTTTCTTTTTTAGGCAACAGTTACTTTAAATGTCAATATTGACCTCGCAAACGGGGCTCGACATCCTGTGCAAATATTTAAACCGGTGAGGGACAACTTTAGCCGTTGGCCAAAGCCTGCATGGGAGCTCGAATATGACAGTGACGGCCAGGAGGGGGGTGGGCATTTGGATTCTTCGTATGACATGGGGCAAGAAGCCTCCAGGAGGACATAGGATTTTTGAAAAACCACCCTTTTAGGGAGCTGAGGGGCCAAAAGAAACTTTGGTAAAGGCTGCCCCAGCCAGGCGCGGCCCCTGCAGTCGTGCAAGTATTACCCACCTACTGGATGCCTCCTGTGGGCCCCCTGCAGGCATGCAAGGACCACCCACCTACTGGGTGCCTCCTGTGGGCCTCCCAGGATGCGGGCCAGCCGGCCTTCCCCCTGAAACCCTGAGCACGTCTCGAAGGGCGCCCCTAGACCTCTGGGGGGCAGGTCCCTCCAGGAGGCTCCAGTCCAGCCTCAGTCAGAACTTGGGGGGAGGGTGGTCAGGAGCCCCTCACCCGAGGCCCAGCGGTTGAAACACGCAGCTTTGCCGTCAGGAGTGCGTGGGCTCACTCAATGAGCCACCGCTGAGGCCCCTGGGAAACCCCCCAGGACAACTGTCCTGGTCTGTCACCAACACTGGTCCCGCCCCCTCCCACAGCAGCCAATCCCAGGGAGCCTGCTGTCACCTCAATTTCCCACCCCCCCACCCTGCAGCCCAGGGCTTCCAGGGTCTTGCTCTCCTAGGAGGTGACTTGGGACCCAGCTGGCCCGGCCCCACCCACCCAGCAAGAGTGACCCTGTGGCTGTCCCCGGGTCTGGGCAGGTACTCGGCCCTGCCAGGACCGGAGGCCTCTGGGGTGGCGGGAGGCTCACACCATACACGTCTCTGTCCCCAAAGACGGACCTCGATGCCACTGCAGCCCGGGACATTAGCATTCATGAGCTGCCCCAAAATGTGTCTCAAAATTGCTTTCAGAGAAAAAAAAAATGGGTATTTCCCATCAAGAAGGCCAATGGGAAACGTTGGTTCTCCTCCCCTGACTGCAGGTAGCTCTTTTTCACGCCTCAGGAGCGAGACCAGCACTTTCTAACCAGCGACTCTTGGCGCCCGTGGGGTGGGGCGGGGCGGGGGCCCGGGGGCAGCTGCGGTCACTCGTGACTGCGACCGAGGACCCCGCCTCGGGAGAGGACGCAGACCACTCCTGCCAGTTCGCTCAGGCGGCCCCGCCTCTTCCCGGGGTTTTGTGTCCCCAAACCCCCTCCTGCCCAGACTGGGGTGGGGACCCTCGCTGTGCCCCACAGCACCCAGGGGTCACCTCTGTCACAGCCCTGTCCCACTACATGCTGACTGGCCAATCCCGTCTCCCCTCCCCACTGGCCTGGAAGTTCTGGGGCACCTGCAGCACCGCCCCCCTCTCCCGCCAGCTCCTCCTGTTGAGATCATTTTCTTCAAGGTGCAGGAAAACCCCACATTCCCTAGATGACCTCTGACCTCTGACCGGCAGAGAAGGGCAGGCCCCTCACTTGGGACGGATGGTGGGTCCGGGGCGTGGTCACAAGGGGGTCCCAGCCTGGGGTCCCCAGGCTCCGAGCCCTGCACCCACGCGCTCCACGGTCTCTCACGGTGGGGGGCTGGGCTCCGAAGAGGGAAACAACCGGCATTTGTTTGGGGTGCTTTCCTCCCCACCCCGTGCCAGCTCCCCTTCGTCAAAGAAGAGGACTGAGTAGACTGGCCCGAGGCCACTGGTCCCCTCCCTGGGGCGTGGGGCAAGGTACAGGCCCGTTTCTGCAGGCTTTGAGGGCTGGGGGCTGCCGGCTCCAGACCCACAGCCTCAGGGGACGCCGGGCCTTGCGGTGAGCAGGCAGGAGGCTGGAGTTTGGGGTGGAGGGGGGAGAGAGTTCGGGGCTCAGACAGGAGCCTCCCCTAGGGTCCTCTGAAGCAGGAGGCCCCCTCGGCAGCCCCCACACCGAACCCCACTTTGGAGAAGTCCCCCTTGCTCACCGACAGGTGAAGGGCCTCCCGGGACTGTGTCCCTTAGGCCTCGGTTACGTATTTGGAAACAAAGCGTGTGAGATAAAGGAAGATTTCTCTAGAAAAGCAGGTTTGCTGGTGCTTCCCTGCGCACCGGCCGGCCAGCTCCTGGCCTCCTTCTCCCCGTTCCCAGCTCCACCGCCACAGGTTCCCACCGCCGACGCAACAGAAAGTGCAAGGCCGGGTCCGAGCGCCCTCCTCTTCCCCGTGGCGGTCCTCCTCTCACCGGACCCCGGCCTCCGGGGCCCGGCTCCTCCTGGGCAGGGAGGGTCCCCACCAGGCCTGGACCAAGTCACCTTCACAGGGTGACCCCTCGACACCAGTGGGGGGGGGCCCTTGAACGCAGCCCGAGCACCTGTCAAATGAACGAGGGAAAGAACAGCTCTCGGGAACTCACTGGAGCCTGAGCTGGGCTTTCTGAAGCGAACGGTGCGTGGGGCCGGAGGACGCCAGGGTGCCCCACCCTACCCCCACCCAAATGGGGTCCACTGTGCTCAGAGCGGCCTGGTGCCCCCTGGGGCCCGCCTTTTGGGGCCGTTCCGTCGTTGAGGAGTTACAGCCTCCTTCCAAGGGACCCCTAAAATGCCACCTTCCCACCCAACTCTTCCTTCTAGGAAAACCGGCAAAACTGCAGCACGGTAGCGGGGCCAGGGGCCTTCAGAACGCCGATCCCCAGCCGGTTCCCCACCCGGCCACCAGGGAGACACCTACTATATGAAGTTGGGGTCCTCTGCAGGACCCCTGAAGGATGCTGACTTCCGGGCTCCACCAGCGAACGCCTCCCACAGTGGCCACATGGGCTACCCCTCCTTAATCACAGCAGCACCCCCGTGGGCTCAAGGCCCCAGGCAGACAAGGCCCGACCCTCTTACCAAAGGCAGCCAGGCTGTGACCCTCTTACCAAAGGCAGCCAGGCTGTCACCGACAGCAGCGTGGAAACTCGGGTCCCTGGGACAGGTGCCCCAGGGTCTGTCCCCACTCCCCCCACCCCCACCCCGCAGGAAGGGCCAGGGCGAGGCTGGCGGTAGCAGGCCTCCCCCACTACTGCTTTCTGAGGACGCAGGGGCTCGCCCTGGGGGTCAGCAAAGTCGTCCCAGGCAGAGAGCCCCAGCCCCCTGCCCCTACGGAGGACTTCCGAAATTACCTCTCTGCTTCTTGGCGCTTACTTTAATTAGCGATTGACCTCATTAATTCCAACTTGAGTTTCCAACAAAAAGAGGTCACGGAACTATTCAATTTACTACCTCTGATTTCCAGGGGGCCCGCGGCAGCCGCCTGGAGCCCCCCAGGTCCTGGGGCCTGAGCTCCCAGCTGAGAGCCGGGCTGCGTATTCTCAGATCTCGCTGCCCAGGGTCGCTTTCAGAGCGCAGCCGAGAAAGCCAGGGTCAGGAGCACTGGCCTCGCTCCCAAACCCGCTTCGGATGCCCCTAGCCCCACGGAAACGCAAACCTCGCGCCGGCCGCCCGCCCGCCCGCCCTCCCATCCCGCGCAGACAGCCGGCGCGCAGGCCCATCGGCAGGGCAGCTCCGCACCCTCCGAACCCCGCGGCGAGGCCCTCCGCTGGGTCGCACCTGCTCGCGCGACCCAGCGGCGCCCAGCTCGGGTGCAAGTGAGTGGTGGGCGTCTCCCGGCACGCGCCCCGCGCCGCGGCCACCCTGCGGAAGCTCCTGAGCCCGCAGGCTGCGCGGGCGGAGCTGCCGGGCCGCCGGGAGAAGGGATGCCCGGGCCAAAGTTGCCAAGGGAAACTTGAGCAACTCCGGCGCGCCGGTGCCAGCCTCCTGCATAATTCACGGGCGGCGGCGGCGGGACGCGGGGGCCGCTACCTGCACCGGCCTGCACTCCCACCCCGGAGGGGCGCGGGGCGGGCAAAGTCGAGCAGTTGGCGGGGACTCTGCGTGACCCCGGGGACCCGGGTGCCCGACCTGTGACCCCAGGGCCTGCAGCAGGTACCGTCGACCCTGACCTTCCAGGGCCCGATGCACCAGTCGCGGGAACCTGGATAGTGGGTCTGGGCGCTAGTACAGGACAAGATGACCGTAGCAGGGTCTCCAGGGACCTTGCGGCCGCAGCGCGAGTCCCCGCCCCCCGCGCGCCCCCTGGCGGCCCCGCGCCGGGTCCTCGGCCCCGCACGCTGGTCGGCGAGGGGCGACCTAGAGCAAAGAGACCCCCGGGTGGGGGGGAGGGGATGAAGATAGATCCACCTGCGTTGCCCCAGGGGGGAACGGCGGGAGTGCTAGGGGTGAGGGTGTTCACCAGCGAGAAGGACAAAGGGGGTGGTCCGAGCTCTGAGCCCAAGCCACTTCCAAATTATTTTGAACCAGCCCTAAACCAGAAGAAAGCGCGGGCGGGGAGGGGCGGGGGTTGCGTGGGAGGGGGGGCGTTCTCCACAGAGACGCGACGCCCTATCCCCAGACTCCAGGAGTCCAGAACGGCGCTTACCCGATAGTTGGTGCTCCCGGAGTCCAAAGGCACCCAAAATGCAGCCGGCGTGCCCGGTCCGGCGCCCGGGGGCCACCTACAGTCGTTCCCAGCCCGCGCTGGCTGCCCCTGCCACCCCCGCCCCGCGTCCCGGGCCACCGCCTTACCTGGAGCCGGGCCTCAGCCAGGTCTCAGGGAGTCCGGGCAGGTCGGAGCCCCCTGGGGAGGGCCGGCGTCCGCTCGCACCTGGCTCGGCCGCGGGGACCCGCGCGGCGCCGCGCCCAGCCCGGCTGTAGCGCGGGAGCCCTAGCCGCTCCGCCGCTCAGGTGTCCGGGGTGGGGGAGGGGACGCTGCGGCCCCGCCCCACGCTGCTGCAGGAGGCCGGGAGCTCCTCTCCCGGGCGACTCGGCTGTCCCTCCCCTCTGCCCTGCGCGGGCGGTGGTGACTGAGGAGGATGGGGGAGGGGTCCTATTGCCAACAAGGGCGCGCGCGGCCCGGATCCGCGCGGGCGACCTGCGCGGACGTCTGCCCCAGCGAGACCGTGGGCCCGTCCCACCTGCCCCACCTGCTCGGGCGGTCGTCGCCGGCCCAGGAGCCGCGCGCCGGTCTGTTGTAGCAACGCCGGCGGGCCGGGCGCCCAAGGCTGCCCCGCCCCGCCCCGCCCTCGCTGCGCGGCGGCCGCCCCCCCCCCCGCGAAGAAACCGGGCGGGCCAGAAAGTCCCCTATTTTGTAAAGCCTGCCTCGTCTGTGCGATTAGAGGACGCGGCCGCCGCCGGCCCTGGAGTATTTCACGTTCACAGGGTTTGGGAATACTGAGGCCCCGGCACATCGCGAGGTGCGCAGAGCCCAGAAAACTTTGTGCCGGGTTACTGCGCCGCCGGCGGTTCTCAGGCCGCCTTCCGCCTGGGCGCCTCCTTCCAAGAAAGGTGGGGGATGGGGCCCGGGGAATAAACGCCAGCCACTCAGGTGAACCCAAGAGGCCAAAAGCGCTCTCCAGAGACGCCCGGAACCCGGTAACATCCAGGACTCGGGGATCGCTGAGTTTGCCGGAACCGAAAGGAGCCTGTCCTGAGCGGAGGCCGGCGGACTCACTCCTCCCAGCCCCGCGCGGGAGCAGCCGGCCGAGAACTTCCCTGCAGGCCCCAGCAACAATGCCCTGGGGGCTGCAGCCTGCGCGTGCTGAGTGTCTCCGAGTCAGCCACGGAGGGCTCTGGTCCCGAGTGTGCCAATACTCTGGATGGGGAGTTTCTCCTGCCTCCAGGATCTGCCCTCTGTAGTGGGGGAGGGGCGCCAGCAGCACCCAGGTCGGGGAGCCTCCCCGACACACCCCCCACGCGGCTCCCCCTGAAAAGAAACTGTATAGATAATACATGGTGTATACTATTTTATGTATTATATACATAATTTTAATATATACTTCACAGATATTTTAAGTCAATTTTATGGGGCACGCCTGAGAGAGTTGCAAGGGCCTAGGACTTCGACATACCAAAGGCAAAGTTAAATATTTGCTCTAGATACTTTTTTTCCCTACTTGCATAATTGTCCCACATTTAAAAGCACTTAGGTTAAAAAAAAAAAAAGAAAGTTGTGTTTGGGGCCTGAGTGTTTCAGCTCGCGCGCATGGAGTGGGAGCACCCCGGCTCCCAGGGGCAGCTTCCAGGAGCGAACTTTCTCCCCTCTGCGCCCTTACGCAGGAGACGTAATAAAATATTTATTGAACGAATAAAGGAGGCAATTAATCAAGTCCTAATAATCCCTGGGACGAGGAAGGATGCCCTGGCAGGATCCTGCAGGCATAACCCCTTTGGCAGGGACCCGGAGATTCGGGGTTCATCAGGGGCAGATCCAGATCCTGATCCCAGATACGATGGGGAGGGGGGTGCGGGGGGCGGGGAGCTTCCCATTCCTTGGCTGCCGTCAGCCCCTCCCCGTAACCCCACATAAAACGTCGTCTCAACTAAAGCGGTGTGTTCAGGGTGTTGGGGCCCTCGACCCCAACTTCAAAGGCAAGGCCCCAAGGTATCACTTGCCTTCTCCCAGATTCCCACTCCCCTCCCCCGAACACCCCTTCCCAGATTTCTAGAAACATCCTCACAGATAGTCAAGGAGGCGGCGGCCCAGAGCTCAGCTCAGAGCACATTCTGGCTGCCCCGCAGAGGGCTCAAAGGTCAGAGCCACGCTGCCAGCCAGTACTCCCAGCAGTACTCCCCTGGGGACCCAGGCCTCCGCCCGCCTGTCCACCCAGTGGCCGCCCCCTTCGAGACCACCCCACGGTCCCTCCCATCTGTTGGAGGCCCAACAGCAGCAACCCGGGAGAGCCCCATCTTTCTGCATTTCAAGGACAGCAGGTGTCCTGCTTCTGTCCCAGTTTCCCTGCACCCGTTTAGAGGTGTCCAGTTCAGCCGCGTGCGCTGGTGAAGTAGCATCCTCCCAGTTGGTCTTTAAACACCTCCGGGGGCAGGGGCTGGGGAGGGGGGCCACCGTGCCTTTGCTAGGTCCAGCTGCCCAGAGAAATGCTGTTCGTTCCGGTTCCGGGAGTCTCCACCCTCCCCATCCTGTCCCTGCTGGGGCACCGGCCCTGGACCAGCACTGAGCCTCTATCATCAGCGGACTTCCCTCAGCAGCCTAATTTCTAGGGGCCCAGGGCGGCCCGAGGCCCGGAGCACCCCAGGTTAGTTTCCACTTAGGAAAAGGGAGCTTCTGCTTGTGGCCCCGGGATCCCAGGGCTGCCTGCTGTGGCCCTGCAGACTGCCTTCCACTCCCGGCGTGCCCGCGGAGGATGAGTGAGCCTGCGGACGGACAGACCGGCCTCCAGCCGAAGAGCTGCTCTCTCTCTCCTGCGAAGCCGGAGGCAGTCCACCGTCCGTCACGATGCGGATGGGGTGCCCGCTGAGCACGGGGCACCCTGGGACTGCCCTGGGAGGAACTGCTCTACAGAGAACTAGAAACTGGGACATCCTACCATTAAGGGATGCGAAAAAGAACCGTCTCCCCTGTCCCGGGAAAGACGGAATAAATATTTTGTGGCTTAGATTAACCCAGACGCTCGCTGCGTGCAGTGTGGTCCCTGTCTGTCTCTCCCAGGAGCAGGCCCGGGTCTGGGACCTCGCAGGCCACACTGTTTGGGAAAAGGCTTCTTAGGCTGCCCGGGTGGGATGACCTGACCCATCCCTTCAGCTCACAGCGGGGAGACTGAGGTGCTAAAGGGGATAGGACCTAGCCAAGGCCATGAGGCCAGAGCCAGAGAAGGCAGGAGTGCCTAGGGGAGCCAGGAAGGGCAAGGGTGCACAGGGGGGGCCAGGAAGGGCAGGGGTGCACAGGGGGAGCCAGGAAGAGCAGGGGTGCCCAGGGGGAGCTGGGGAAGGCAGGGGGCACAGGGGGAGCTGGGGGAGGCAGGGGGGCACAGGGGCAGCTGGGGGAGGCAGGGGGGCACAGGGGCAACCGGGGAAGGCAGGGGTGCAGAGGCGTGCACAGGCAAGTGCGGGTAAAGGTAGGTGCTCCAGCCAACAGTCTGCCCCATGTGCCGCCCCTGCCAGACCCTCCTGCTTTTGCAATTCTTTCCTACAGATTTCCCACCACAGCCAGGGCTCTACTGCCCTCAAGCCCCGCCCCCCACCCCACCCCCAACACACTGAATCCTGGGCAAGTCACTCATCTCCCCATGATGTCAGGACAGCTTCTAGCGGGGTCCCACGAGCCCGTGGTGGGAATGCCTGAGGCTCTCAGCAACCCCTCCGCTCCTCCACGAAGTGCCTCCCCTGTCGCCAGCCTGCAGGCCGACAGAGCATTGTACGACCCTCCATTCATTGTCCACAGATTTATTTTGCATGGATTGGTTTTGCAAAGGCTCCTGGGAACGGTGTCTGAGCCTGAGGGCTGGGAGTGCCGAGGGTGCGCTTGCTCCCACTGGAAGCCACCGTGACCGTGATCGGGGGACAGGAGCTGGTCCTGCAGGACCGGAGGGGCTGGGGGCGCGGGGGCACAGGGGCTGCAGAGGGGCCCGGGGCTGCAGAGAGGCCCGGGGCTGCAGAGAGGCCCGGGGCTGCAGGCTCTTCCCCAGGCCCACCCAGGAAGCGTCTCCCTCCCAGGCCTCCCGTGGTGCCCGTGCAGCCAGGGGTCGGAGGCATCAGTGTTCGGGGTGGCACTCGGTCCCTGTGCAGCAGAGCCTGCAGGTTGGGAGGTGACCAGTCCCTGGCTTCTAAGAAGTGCCATTGTCCCTCCCTGGCTCACAGCAGGGACCTTGGGGAGCTCCTGCATGGGGGAGGAGGACTTCCTCCTCTGCATCTCCCTTTTCAGGTCCCTCACACCTGCCTCCGGGAGTCAGCTCTCACATACAATGCCCCACCTCCAAGTCCCGTTGCAGGCAGAGCTCTCCGGGGAAACCCAGACTGAAGTAAGTGCGTGTCTGGTGAGCCTGCCACGAAGAGGCAGCCACGATCGGACCGTGGCACCCGCCCCAGGGAGGACATGAACTTGGGCCACAGTGCAGCCACGCTCAGGGCCAGGAGGGCTCCGCTGATGCGAAACAACCCAGCAGTTGGACGCCATAGTCAGAACGTTACACACATCGGAAGGGCCCGTTCTAACAGAGGACGGAGTGGGGGAGGGCAAAACTCCAGACGGAGCCGTTGGAACCAGGCTGCTCACACCAGTCACTGCAGGGGGGCGGGGGCAGGAGCCGAGACTCCACTCGTGTTCTAACCGGCCTGGGAATTAAACTTCTGTGAACATTCCGGGCTCAATCAGTGCCTGGTTACGCACGGGGACCTTCAGGTAACCCTCTGAGGGACCTGCTCAGACACCCGCCGGACACCCATTGTCCAGCTGCGACTGGGATATGACCAGAGCGCCTGGCAGCCCTCACCCGGACCGCCTGACACCCGCGAACGGCCGTCCTGGGCCGATCCCAGGGCTCAGAACGCAGGACCCGTCCTTCTCAAGAAGGTGCCGTTTACTGCACGACCTTTTCACTGTCCTTTCTTCGCTGGAACCCTTCTGGGGTTCGCCCAGCGCGTCCCCGTTGGCCACCCCCAGGACCCTTGAACGAACCCCGTTCATTCCACTGCATGCAATCCCGAACCAGACCAGGACAGGGTTTTCTTAAACCTGGCATGCATCCGAAGGAGTAAGCGTGCAAAAAAAAATAAATAAGTAAACAGTACAGAGACTTGTATCTAGACCACAGAAGAGACTCGGTAAAAAAGACAAACCAGTACAAAGAACGGGCCACACACTCGGACGGACCTCACAGAAAGGGCAGCCAGAGCGGCCTGCGGGCCTGCGAGAAAGTGCTCGGTTTTATTGGTCAACAGGGACGTGCGAAAGCAACCGTGCAGCCGCACCCAGTGCCTGAAACGGAAAAGCAAACCGCCCGACACTGGAGCCAGCCGCACCTGTCTGTGCGCAGCCGGTGGGACGGCGGATGGATACGCCCGCCTGGGAGAACCGTCCGTCCGGCAGGATCCTCCGCGTCCCGGCCACGCTGCTCCGGGGGAGCGAGCGCCTCTGTGCCCCCCAGGGCTCGAGAGGTCCTCACGACACTGGTACCC